TTGACAGGTGAAGTCTATGCACGCTTTATTGTCTGGACATTTGCTGTCAATAAAGCATTCTCCCTTCTGGCAGCTGGTCAAAGCATGCCCTATGTAACCGGTCGAATAAGTACAGACTGGTCTCTCCTTTCCGGTGTTGTCGTAACCGGGAATGCAAATTGCGTTTGCTCCGTATAGATTAGGTTCACACAGGTCTCCTGAGAATATTAACAAACTTCCGAGTTAGAATAAAACTTAATTTATTACTTTCTAATCACTTACGTGCTTCAAAAGGTCTACAGCTTATGAAGGGGTTGCCAGTCATATGTCCGGGACAGTTGCAGACCGGAGTAATGTCACGCAAATCGCAGTCTGCATTTACACCACACTTTGTCGCAGGGGTTCACGCATTTTTGATAGAGGCAGGCTGGTTTGTTTGCTGGATATTCTGAGTGAGTGGTGCATTCGGGGTGACAAGATGCAGTGGATTCCGGTTAATTGGGACGCTGGTTAAGCGGGACCGCTGTTTATTTGGGACAGATACTGAAGAACGGAATATAAATATCAAGACCGAATATTACATACGTTTTTCAATAAATCGTTTTTGGCTTCATTTTTTACGTTGTTCAGATTTTGCCTGTTGAAATTCGCTTTTTTGGGAGAAATTAATCCGGTCCCAATGTGTCCCAATTAACCGGAATCCACTGTACATACGGATTTCCTAACCAATTCTAGAAGAGACAATATATAATTAATTGATATCAATTATGCTCTTACTTTTTATATATCCATTTATTACTTACATTTGGACAACTACACTTGGCTTGATGATTTATAACCTGTCACTCCGCGTTTGGACCACACTTACACGAACTCTCGCATCTAAAGGACGTGGAACATACAAGATGATCGGAACATTCGCTGTCTCTCCCGGAAGGCAAGTGCACACCGCTACCTCACATTTTGTGTTTTATCCGCATGGTCTCGGCTTAGAGGCGGCCTTTGAAAGGATTCCATTAATGTGTCACTCACTCCTCTTCTTGAGGTCATTTCATGTCACTCAGAGTAGTGGTAGTGTAATTGGTAATATGTACAGGTGTCTCAGCTATACAACACAAGACGAAAGGATCTCCAACGTATTCAGAAGGACAATAGCACATTGGAGAGTGATTTATGATCTGGCATAACACGTTCATGCCACATAGACCATCACAGGGATTCATACATCTGTTATTGACACATGCTCTGCTGCTAATGCAGTCCCCATTAACTGGAAATTAAATTCATATCACTTAAAACAGGTTCTGTGGAATATTTCATTTAAAATATTCCAATATTTTTTTAACATATACAAACTTAGACATTCTACTCTGACACAGCATGAAAGGGGGTCCCCCATGTGCAGGTTCATGCAAGAACAGACTGGTCTTCCTTCGCTGAATGTGCATCTTGCGTTCACACCACAAATGTAAGCCTCACAGCCTTAAAATTAAGAAAATAAAACGTTCAGTATAATTTTTGTAATAATACAAACTCAATATTCACATAACTTACCAATATTTCCCGATGTAAGTATCCTTGACTGATAGTATCTGCCATTCACAATAGTAAATGATGATAAAAGAAGCAATAGTCGGACCTGCAGCTGTTTCATCTTTTCAGTAGCCTGAAAGAAGTAATTTGTTTAACAAAAAAATCCATTTTTTTATTAGTAAATAATGCAGGCATGATTTTACCTAGTCTAAAGCGTGACTGTTTCACAAGCGGACCAAACGGATTAACGGGTTTGTTGTGCGTAAGGCTGCACTAGCAGTTGTCTCACAAGAGCTGTTTCGTATGTCGCGTGCCTTACGAAGGCCAGTTTGTATACTCGTCGCTTGATGGTATGTCATCCAGGAAAACTAGTTTTAAATCTGATTGGTTGGATGTTCGGAGAAGGGTGGTTGTAACTAATTTTAGATTGAATGATGTGGGAGTGTCTTTTCTTTTAGCAAAAGGTAAAAAGCGGTGGAAGGTGAAAAATTCTGAAAATGTTTTTCCGTTTGTACTTTCTATGGCGTCTTAGACAAACAGCAGTGTTTATACTATTGAACTGTTGCGTGGGTTCTTGGGGAATTTGATGGAATTTGCGCACGTGGGGCGCCAAAGCACTTAAGAACGCGATTGTTTATGAAAATTAATGAATACGGAAAATCTAATGTTGAAACTATTGATTTACTAATAAATAACTTGATTGGAACAAGGATATGTGAAAAGTTTAACTATAACTTTATCAAGTCTGAGCTCTTTGAACGAGGAAAATCGAATAAATCATCAGGCGTCGTTGTTCCTTCATTGCCCCCACATTCTTTGCTTACAAAAGTCTCCAATCAAATCAAAGGTTCCACACATGTGTTCTTGAGGGTGGCTCAGATTGGTTCTCATTATTAGACTTTGGCGCGCTTTTGCATTCACACTACGGGGCGCCACATGACACTAATTCTAACTGCTCTAAAGCCGTATTCACGTTCATGCACGACGAGTGATTAAAGTTACGTTCAAGCGACAACGCAACAGAACAATGAAGGCGCCAGGGTAAGATGCGCAGTCATTAACTCTGGAGTCTAGTTAATAACTTAGGTGGCGAAGGTTACAGTTTCGAGTACTACTCGGGCCTAATTTTGCAGTATCCTGGGGTGTGGGCCTTCGTATGAGGCCACCCCGAAAGCGGTCTATTGACCGCGACGAGTCCTGGGAAAATCTGCGTTTCTTTACGACGCAACAGGGTTTCCAACGAATGAAGAGATTATTGTGAAGGTCCCACCTTCCTTAACCTTCAGTCCCACTTTGAATTTTGCCTACGCATGTCCCTGACGATCCTTTGATGGGCCTCGCCTATGCGCTACACTATACTAGACCACTGCCCACACGTTTTTTAATATTCTAGAAAATCATTTATTCACGAGCAAGAAAATATGTCCTCCACGTACAACTTTTCAAGTTCTACCAACGATTGAAGGACACTTTGCTAATGAGCCATGCAGCACAAAACCACTCAGCAGTCGTTTAAATTCGTCCCAATAAAATATTGCATATGTTAATTTTGATTTTATTGGTATACGAATTATTATTTATATATGAAGCTTCTTATTATAAAAATTAAACATTTTAACTCAATATAAATATATAGATCACCATATAAGTAATTATTCGAAATCGATGAGCCATCGGTGATTTTTTTCTGAATCAACTTTGACTGATGACGAATAAATACTCAAAAATGCAATACGCTACCACAAACGAGGTATAGGACTTATACTACAGGCTAAACACCAAGAGCGTAAATATTCGTGTTGCAATTTCCCTTTCGCGCTAAAAATGACCACGAGCATATTATGATCATCCAAGAAATGTTGACCGTGTGCGTAATCGTCCCTAAATACCAGTTCACATTTACAGAATTGCTTCGTATAAAGAACAGTTACTGTATTACCTGTAAAAAAAAATTAATTAGAAACATTGAAGCTGTTGGGTTCGTGATAACCATCAACGATAAACCAGAAAAATGACAAATGCAACGATTAATATTTACCTCAATCGTTCTGATGATTTATTGCAATAATTTAAATAACTTAATAATTAATTTCGTATCATAGACAAATAGATATATCGTTTCGTCCTAGGAACAAACTTCGCAATGCTCGTTTCTAAGTTTAAAAATGTGAGTGTGCACAGTACAAAAAAGTAGGTTGGTACGTGTGTGTAAAAAAGAAAGAAAAAAGATGGCAGCGGCACAAAACAGAGAAAGCATTTTTCCCCCGTATGTGTGTATGTATGGAAATCAATCCATTAAGATTCATTATGCTCTCGAGACGAATTTTTCTGATTAAATACGTATCGTACAAACGCAGAGAGAATCATTCCATCACACGCTCGATTTTTAGTCTGCACCCCCGTTTTACATTTATATAAAAATTCGCAAACGAAATTTAGGAAATACCCCCATAGTTTCCAACTATGAGACCAATGAAAATTACACGATAATCTCGATTTATAGTTAGGCGACCGTCGACCATCCTTAATTATTTCTGTGCCTGGTTCTTGATTTGCTTCGGAATATGCTTTAAGAACTCCTCAAACGCCTCATATACGCCATCCTCATCTGACAACCATTCCTCTTCGCCCTCGTATCCGTGCTCCGATATACTGTAAAAATTCATATTTTGACACATTTTGACATATATGCATATATATTTTGACACATTTAATTTTTAATTTTAATCAATTTAATATACATACACATGATCCTCGATGTTCGTTGTACTGTCAGCAACGTCCTCCAAAAATTTATTCTCTTCTGCTGTTAATACTTTGCCGTCTGGACCGTAGAAAACTGGTTCATCGACAGCTTGATTAGGATCTATGGACTCTGTGGATTCAACTATCGAAGAATTAATAGAACTCTGTCCCCAATTTCCGTTTCTCAACTCATGGACACTATGAACCATTCTTCCAACGTGTGAATCGACTCTACCCTCTGTCACTAATTCTGTTAATGCCCGCATCATGTTCTCCATTTCCTTGCGATCTTCACCCTTATCCTTTTCCAAAGTTTGTCCTGCCAACTATATATTACACAAAGAAAACCATATTATAGAATTGTATATTATAAATAATAATATTGTGTAAATTTTTCCTGGGGGTTTTTGCACATTGTGTACCTTTAAGGCTTGACAGATATTCTTGACTGAGTTTGGTGCAGGCTTTTTTAGTATAACGATAATGAGCTGAATTAATAAGTCTCCCAAACCAAAAGCGGAAGTGTGCTCCATTTGGGTGACCAACTCGGCTAGGAATAATATCAATCCGTGACACTTTTTCTGTTCATCCTCTGTGTGGTCCTCTTTTTGCTGCCAGTTGGAAGATTGTCTCTCGGCTTCGTTTTTACACCTGTTACAAAATTAACATTTATTAAACCGAAACCTTAGATACTTAATATATGTACATGTCTTATTCAATAACTCACAGAGTATATAATGTCCATCTAAAAGACGTTTGTTCGTTTTGAGTCAGACTGCTGTCTAGAGAGGCGCAAAGTCGAGCACCACTGTACCGGAAGTTACCCTCGTTCATGGACTGAAAGTGATTTAACATTCGATGAATATACAATCTTTCTTTTTTTGGTTCGAGAAAAGGAGAAAAAATTTACCTGTTGAATTATTATTTTTATAATTTCTTGAAACTGACTAGGAAATTCTAAATAAGGCCTAAGGTTATTTATGAGCTGCGGTACGATGGAAGTGAAGCGACCAGGATTTAGTATCAACGAATGTATAACACTCCCTAGGTTCTGTGTTGTGTTTACAAAGTCGATTAAATAATTATCATCCTCTACATTTGAGCTCTGTAATAAAATGAATCAATTAATAATGAAACTTAATTTTCAATCTTCTTATAATTATTACCTGATGTTTATCTTTGTAGTCTCCAGAACCTCCATCAAAACATCCATAATCTTGGGCATTGGAGGGCTGCTCCATTTGCTGTTGCTGTTGTGATGGATTATCAAACTGTTGAACTTGTCCAGTTTGTTGATAATGCTGGGAATTGTCGAAATTCTGCACTTGCACTCCAGCTTGGAGTGGTATTTCTCGTGCCATTTGTAATCTATCCTGAATTGAGTGTTTCTGTAAAAATCTCATAGATGACTGCTGCTGTTGATGTTGCTGTGCAACAGAAATAATACAATCATCTCAACACTTGAACACTCCAAAATAAGGAATCACAGTGTTGAACAAAAGATACTCACTGGCTGCTTATTGGCAGGATATGATTTTGGAATGAATTCAGCTGCATGCACAGATAATCTACTGCTTTGGATAATATCATCGAAAGACATATCCACTTTATTGTGCTCTGAGCTTCCAGACTCCATAGACCCTGCAGTTAAAAAAGCACCCATAAAGGAGAATGGTTAAAATAGCCATTTTGGGCAGCATTTAGAAAACAAAAATTTTTGCAGAACATTATGGAGGAAAACTTAACAAGGTGTCCCATGAGCGAAATGTAAAATAAAAAATACACAAAAATTGAAGAAAATGTCACATTGACAATTTCTCTGAAACACCTTGTATAATGTACTCCAAAAATTTCTTTTCCAAATCATATTCAAAGTGACTGTTTCCTGTGATGCTCCTTTAACAAATTTATAATGTTCCAAGTGGAATATATTTATAATGTTCCAAGTGGAATATATTTATAATGTTTCAAGTGAATTATGTTCATTTTCAAACAGTGTTTTTCCATGTCACAAATATAGCAACCTGTTTGCATTCCAGATGTATCATCATGGGGTCTCCTCAAAGGAGAATTTTCTCGCGCGGCCGATGACCACATTCCTCTGCCACGACCGCGACCTGTTCCATGCCATTCCATATTCCCGTCACCGTTCCCATCACCTGAGAGAGGATTCATCCTCTCCACGGCAGAAATTATGCTCGACTGTACAATCTCTCGAGAAGGTTAAGTCAAACGACGACGATACTGGCGCGGAAACGTCACCCGCGAGTGGATTCGAGACGCACGTTTCGTAGCCGCGCGTATTTCATCAACATAAGTTCAGCGATTCCGCCAAGCCCGTTATAGGTGCCCGTTATCTGCGATAAAACGCGTCCCGCCTCATAAACAGAATATCGAAAAGTCTGGACGTGCGACACATTCACGCCAGTCCCTCGCTGATCGACTCCGATCGATGGTCAAACTCGAGAAGTTGGTTGATAATCCACCGTCCGTTCTTCAGATTAAAATTATGTACTAAGTTCTCGACGAATTAACGCAGATAACCTCTCAAGAAAAAAAAAATCAGATATATATGTACGTAATCATTAAAAAAAAAAATGGTTAGTTCCCTATTATTGCGTTTTTCTTATTTTTCTTACGATTTCAAAGCGTAAATCAATATATAACATAGTTATGTGAGAGCGTAAATTACAATAAAATGCGTTATAAATGATTCTCTCCATATCGAAATTTTTCTCTCTGTTCATTAATAATCTTATAATAATAAACGCAGAAAGTTCTAAAAATAATTCATTCTTACGATGAATGAAAAATTCGACAAAAACGAACAGTCTAAATAATTGTTGTGATACATACAATACTTGAAAGTATCGTAATATTTAACAAGGAAAAGTCCCCACGTTTCATACTTCGATTTTAATGAACCTTTACACAGTGGTATAGTTAAAAATCTTGAAACTAACCATACACTATTTTTGACGTATAAGATTTATAATTTAATATTAAAATTTACAACTAATATATTTGCTTTATTTTAATAGCGAAAATTATAGTAGTGTAGTGTAGTGGATAAGGTATTCACCTACAAAATGGATGATCCCTTTGCTCCCAATTTCAATTCCTATCAGAACTAACCTACAACACTCCTTTTTTTTTTTTTTTAATTTTTTGTCACTAATCCACATAAATTTATCTCTTTTTGCATTATCACTTATAATTAATAATTAATTTTGAGTAATATTTTATTGATAAGTTTCACACGCTACTGTATAAATTGTAAAAATTTCGAATCTACAATAAATTACGAATATTCTGAAAAACAAATTGCTTAAACAATGTTCATATGCAGTATAAGTATACCAAAAATGTATTAAAGAGTCAAATTTGTCTATTTCTTGCACTTTTTAGTCAAGCGGCGTTTCTAGAAAAAATGAGAAGCTTGTTTCGTTCTTGCATCAGATGAATTTTCCATTCTTTATTTTTAACGTGTAAAATTTTTGCATTTTATCTTCTTGTGTGATCTATCTTTGTGATTTATCAATAAAATATTATCCACAGTTAATTGTTACATCGTAAACTGCACCTTTCCAATCCCTCGCGCCACCAACGTGTCTCTCTCGATTCTTTGCACTGTAGAATGCGAACAATGAGATCTGAATCATCGTCCAGGCGGCAAAATTTGTAGAAAGTTTGATAAAAATCGTGAAACTGAAATTACTTGGGAGGAAAAAGTAACTTTTCTCCATCATCAACAGTTTACGCATAGACCATTTCCGTGATTCGTGGTGAATGATTTTCACGTCCTGCATGGTAATCGTTTAACAAGAATGTATTTCGTTGGAGAGCTCATGGAAAAATCTGATCCGCTCTGATTACGGAACGAAGCCGAAATTTCGTCCGGAAAATAAGCTTGTTCTCTCTGATTTGCCATTGGCTCCAAAGAGGCACCTTTCGACCGAGCTCGAGTTATGAGGTTACGATCGTTGACACGGACACGCAGAATCTTGTCGAGATGAAACCTCAGAATCCTTGGTAAACGATGTCGTCTAATACCCAGAGTGCTTCACGAATTGTCTCGTTTACGTTTAATCCTTCGACTCGATCTAGTGAGTATTTTTCAAGCTACATGCAAAACCACAAAAGTGCATATGATTCATAAAGTATATCGTCGTGCCAGGCTTGACCGTTTCAGGTATGTACAATGATAAGCAAAACTGAACGCATTTTATAAATTTTCTAATTTTTCCAAATAATAATATATATCTATATAATATAACCACAAAAGTGCATATGATTCATAAAGTATATCGTCGTGCCAGTCTTGACCGTTTCAGGTATGTACAATGATAAGCAAAACTGAACGCATTTTATAAATTTTCTAATTTTTCCAAATAATAATATATATCTATATATTATAATATAATTGCTGCATAATAACAGAGTGTCATAGTATGCAACATATTCAGATATAGATAAAAAAAATTCATATTAATCCATGTCTTATATACTTATTCACTTAAGGGTCACATACAGGTTCAAGCACTCTTGGAAATGTTAGAAGTCGGTTTACGGGTGATCCGTGGACAGGATTGGAAGTGGGATGACCAAGATGGTGGTGAGGGCCATACAGGAACAGTTGTAGAAATTGGCAAACCTCCCTCTTTTGGAAACTCAGCTTCTAGTCCTAATCCATCTGACAGGACACCAGATAAAACTGTCATTGTTCAATGGGATCATGGATCCAGAAGCAACTACAGAATCGGATATCAAGGAGCATATGACCTGTTGGTATTTGATAATGCAGCCACAGGTGTTAAGCATGCAAATATCATATGTGATGGATGTAAAAGACATGGGATAATTGGCATCAGATGGAAATGTATCCAGTGTTGTGATTATGATCTATGCACACAGTGCTACATGGCTGATGTGCATAATCTTAGTCATTGTTTTGAAAGATTTCAAACAGCCAATTCAGTGGGGTTGGTTTTTCAAACATTATTATCATAATTACTTGATAATTGATAATGAAATTCACTTCATAAACTTTCTGAATTACATAGAGTTCAATTGACTCCACGAGAGAACTGTACCAAGATACCTTTGAAAGGAATATTTATTGGAGCTAAAGTTGTTCGTGGCCCTGACTGGGAATGGGGAAACCAAGATGGAGGAAGAGGTACCTTGCATTTTTATTTTATGTCTATTATGCATTCTAACAGAACTGCACTTCAGGAAAAACTGGCAGAGTTATGGATATACGTGGATGGGATAATGAAAGTAGCCGATCAGTGGCAACTGTGACATGGTCCAAGGGTAGTACAAATGTCTATCGTCTTGGTTACAAGGGCTGTGTGGATTTGTGCTATGTGGAGGAAGCCACAGCTGGCACATATTACAAGGAACACCTTCCACTCCTTGGACAGCCAGTAATGACTGTATCAGACAACCTAACCAATGTAACTCCAACCAGAATTGGTGTTCCTTCCTCTGTATCTAGTCCGCGTCACTTAACCTTCAATGTTGGGGATAAAATAAAAGTATTGGTCGATGTAGAAACACTAAAGGAAATGCAAGAGGGTCATGGTGGTTGGAATCCACGTATGGCCGAGTACATAGGAAAAGTTGGCAGAGTGCATCGTATCACGGACAAGAGAGACGTCCGTGTGCAATTCGAGGGATGCAACAACCGATGGACTTTTCATCCTGGTGCATTAACAAAGGTCACTAGCAAGGACACGTTCTCTCTCGGAGACATAGTCAGGGTGAAGACCGATTTATCCGCGGTTAAACTCTATCAGAGGGGCCATGGAGAATGGATAGATGTGATGAAGAATGTAAGTTCATCAGCTTTCAATTACTATCAGATTTTATAAAGAAAAAACTTTCAGGCTTTGGGGAAAACTGGCAAAGTAATCAAAATATATTCTGATGGAGATTTGAGAGTTGCATTAGATGGTCATACATGGACATTCAATCCTTTGAGTGTCACTCTTGTTCCTCCTGGAACAGAAACTGTTTCCTTACAGGATGAAGCAAACCGAAGCAGAGACTGGACAGGTATGTTAAGTTTAGATATTTAATTCTAGAAAGACCGGCCACGTCAATACGACCCATTAGCAACTTTCCAAAAGAAGTGAATGTTCGATACTGTTAAGTATTATCGTTTGTAACTTTCTGATTTTGTTTTCTCCATGTATACTTTTATTTGTATCGGTATGAATATAATTTTTTAATTACGGTTTAGTTACAGAAAAAGTCAATTTTGGTTAGTTGCTAATAGGTCATTTTGACCCGGGCGGTTCTTCTAGTGTTAACACATTGCGTACGGATCACGAGATAGCTCGTATATAGCAAATCGAACTTTGTGGCCGGGTTACGAAATATCTCGTTTTAATGCTTTTTCATACGCGCGTATCGACGAATTAAGAAATTAAAAATAGATTTTTTTGTTACGTTACCAAGGCAACGAAGCCTTGCATATTCTTATGATAAATGATTAGCGAAATAAAAAAAAAAGAAGTAAAGTCTGTTTGTTCAATGAAAAAAGGAGCGAAACCAGATTTAGTTGCAAATTATGCCAAATACCATTGCACAAAGGAGAATGCTTCACCAGATTCATACTCTGAAGCATTATTCAAGTTTGTAAAATAAATAATAATTAATCGATTTAATTTCATTTATATAATAAATAATAGCTAAAATGTAAAAAAGCCTACATACTAAATAGATGTATAAAAAATATGTAGTAATATTTAAGAATACTTTATAAATGAAAAATAAAAAAATGCATATATGCATTGTACAAAGTTTTTTTAGAACGTTCAAAAATGTGCGGGCCCTGGAAGCGCGTTGAGCGAGCAGAGTGTCGTACGCAATGTGTTAATTAGTACATGTATTATGATTTCATATTATCGTCTGTATAGCTGACGGTGTAGACACTGAAGTTGAGAAGCTATTGAGAGATGCAGCCAGAGGAGAAGCAGGGGTATCCGCAGTTCAAGAATTCCTCAAAAAATACCCTGGTAGAGTGGATGCCAGAGCTGGTGGACCAGGTGGTGGCAAGAAAACTTGTTTACAAGTAGCTGCACATCAAGGCCAACGAGACCTCTGTACTCTTCTTCTGGATGCTGGTGCATCTCTACGAGCTGTAGATGAGGATGGGGACACACCTCTTCACTATGCTGCATTTGGGTTTGTCACAAAATTTATATATATATGAGATCAGGGCCTCCATGTCTATCAAAAGGAACAAATAACAACGAAGAAAAAGGGAGGGCGCCTTGCTTATGGGCGTAGAGTTTCAGAGGTCGCGGTTTCGATTCCCGCTTGGTCCTTCAAATTTTTCCTCCTGGACATATCACAAACTTATAAAAATATTTTACTACACAGTAACCAACCAGAGATAATGGAGCTACTTCTGTCACGCGGTGCAGCCATTAACGCAGTGAACAATGGCAAGTGCAGTGCCTTGCACGTAGCTGTAAACAAGCAACACGTTCAATGTGTGAAAGTTCTACTGCGTCATCACTGTGACGTTAATTTACAAGACTCGTACGGAGACACAGCGTCGAGTGGACTTCACCTTGAGGAATAAACGGGGCTTCAACGTGCTGCATCATGCTGCTCTAAAGGGCAATGCTCAGTAAATATACATAATTAATCAAACACTGTCACTTTAAAAAATCTAAAGATTAATTGCAAATTATATTGTGTATAGTGCGACTGAGAAATTAGTGGCGCGAGCAAGACACTTGGTAGACGTGAAAAAAGAGGATGGTTTCGCTGCACTGCACCTTGCAGCTCTGAATGGCCACAAAGACGTGGCTGCCATACTTCTTTCTCCAAATGGCGGCAACGCTAAAGTGGACCTTCGAAACAACCGTCGACAGACGCCTCTACATCTGGCCACATCTCAAGGTCACTGGGCTTTAGTAGAGCTTCTTGTGCACCACAATGCAGACATTGCTAGCAATGATGCAGATGGTGACACAGTGTTACACATTGCTATAGTGAAGAGCCCCAATCAAACCAATGTGGTTCCTACGTCTGAAAGCTGTCGAGATTCTCCTCTAATTTATGCAGTACGTTGTGTTTTTTAAGTATATTGACCTTCACTGTTAGATATGGCATTGTAGTAATATGCATTGCAGATATGGCAAAATTTAGCTAGACAGAATGCCAAGACGGAACTGGCGTTAGCTTGCTTCCTGGTGAGTGTGGATAGAAGCTGCACTCTATTAGAGCACATGAAGAATTCCAAAAATAAAACGCCTTTAGATCTTCTCGAGGCTGATCCCCAGATAGCCGCATACACTGATTTGGTGCGGTGTTATCAATACCAAAGTCACAGTACTGAATTAGAGTAAGTAAGACCTCTGTGTATTTCATTGTACAGAAGGTGTTTTATCTAATTTATGCACGTGTACTTGTTATAGGATAGAAAACGCTCCCGCTTCACAGCCTTCCATATATCAGATAGACACAACGCTTCAATCTGAAATGGTACGTGGTAACAGAAAAGGTATTCCAGGCTCTGGTGATGCTACAGAGTGCCATAGTTGCTTGGGTATAGTGACCAATGCAACGAAGGATGGAAGCACATTTAATGCTGGCAGTAGTGTCACTATAATCAATTGTGCTCACTGTGGTCATGGAATTGCGAAGACAGAAGCTATTCTAGGTACTTCACATCAACATTTTTTTTATAAACATTCTGATATTTCTATCACAATTATTTATTTGACGTTTTGGTTTGGCATAGATGGGCAGTTGGCTACCGGAGAAATTCCTCTGACAAACCAGGAAGAAAAAATTAAAGACAGTGCGTTGGAGGAGCAGAAGAAAGAGGAGAATGAGGACAAGGAGAGAGAAAAAGATAAGGACTTGGAACGGTTACGTTATTTAGAGACTAGAGTGGCTGATTTGGAGGAGGCCAATATGTGCAGTATTTGCATGGAACGTCGTCGAAACGTCGCATTTCTGTGCGGCCATGGGGCCTGTGAGCACTGCGCTGCTCCCTTAAAAACTTGCCACATGTGTCGTAAAGTTATCACGAAGAAGATTAATTTGTATTAGACAATCAAGAATGAAGTGTTTGCATATACTACGCGTTTGCACGTATACAGGGTGCTTCACGAGAAAAATGTCTGCAGCATACTTAACAAGTATTTCTTAAGCAATAGATTACGTACACTTACGTACATGTTACTTCTATTCCCTACAAAGTATCTTGCAGAATTTGTTTTCTCGTGGAATATCCTGTACATATACATGGTGAGTCACGAGAAACAGAACACCCATGTATTTCTATTAGGATTGAAGATACGAGAAAATATCAGAAGAAAGTTGTACTGTTCAAGGGAGCAAATATGATGATACAAACAGATCTTCTGATTGACGTTATCTTCAAGGATTTTTAAAGAACATCGATCGTTTTCTAAATGGTACCATATATTTTTAACTTCATAGCGTAGAAGTCGATATCAAGGCAAATTGAACGATATAGGATATTATGACCTTGAAATGACTGGACTAACAAAAATTTATGATAAAGCAATAACAACTTTAAAATGTGCAATCAGTTTATTTAAATTAAATTAAATTAAATGTTCAAACTGGTGACTTTCAGCAATAACACAAGCATTTTAACGTTCTGCAAGACTATGAAGTATTCTTTCAATCGTTTCCGATGAAATAGATGCACAACCTATAGATACATACCTATAATTTGATAATAATCATTTGGTGTATATTTAGAGATCATTTTTCATTAACGGTACGCGCTATGCTATGAATGAAACTTAATCGCTTAAGAAATCAATTCGTTGGACGAATCTACATTTCTGAGTGCAAGGATTTCAAGGTGTGGTATCTTATATCGTCAAACACGCCTTAACATCACATACTAAGCTATGAAGTCAAAAATATATAGTGCTATTTAAAAAACCTTGAATCGGTGAATGATTGTATCATCATTTTTGCCCCCTTGAACAGTACAACTTTTCTCTTTAGTATTTTTTACCTATCTTTATTTCTAACAAATTTATTTAAGTATCCTGTTTTCTCGTCAAACACCCTGTATAAGTGTCATTTTGTTTTCTAATATGCGTAGATTACAAATATTATTAAATACGCGATATTATTGGCATATAATTAAATGACTAAATTCTAACTGCCAAAGTATACAGATTTTTTTTTTTTAATATAAAACATTCAACAGCTTCATAGGTGCACTACTATTGTGCCATGAGAAAAAAAGAGTCACAACAGGGCGAGTGTCGCATACTTCTGTTTCTTCTTTATATTTTTTGTCAACCGATTTTGTACATTACTTTCGAACTTCTCTCCGACAATACGAACTTATTGATATATCGCCCATTGTATCCCGTCCATTTTTTAATCATCATTTGAAGGTACGAGCAACTTGTAAGAATCTCCACCGCCATCTTGTACCATAGACATTATACATACTGAGAAACCAGTAACTTCTTCTCGAGCATTCCAAAATGTTGATGAAACAAAATGGAATCTATTTAATAAATAATAGTCTGCCTTTAAAATTAACATTTTTTTTTTTTTTGTCAATATTTCTTGACTCCATGAAATAATGTCACTCTGTTAAGTGTACTTGAAGATTCATAGTGTAAATGAACTTAGACGTTTCCATACATATAGTAAATACCTTTTCACACTAAATATTTGTTACTATATTGTCGAGTGCGCGGCGATTTTTATTGTTTTGTATGTAATATTGATCAGAGGTTAAGAGGCGTTACACACTCACATATTATATACGAGGTGTCCCACGATAAGTGCCGTTTGATATAACTACTGAACGGTAGGTGATAGGATAAAAAATGTGAGGAGACTTCCATCATCATCTTTATGTAGAATGTCACTGTAGAAAAAAAATTTGATCTTCAATTTTGCAAGGTGATACTAAGGTCATTTCGTGTTTTTTGGATGGAATGCTATATTTTATTATAGTATTATGAAAGTACAGAAAAAACCAGTTCCGCATATCTTTGAAATGACCTTGAGACAATCCAAAGTCGCAAGGACGAAAAAGTTTGAAAACAGAAGAGAATCGACGTCTCTGTTACTCTATCGGTGTCTTTTACATTTGATGTTCAAAATGTCCACCTCCAGCTCTTCAGCATTGCTGCAATCGTTTTTGTTGATATAGCGGCACATGTATTAATTATTCTTATTTTCATGTCTTCTCGTATCGTTGGCTGCGTTTTATAAACCATTTATTTTATATATCCCCATAAGAAAATGGAACTTACCGGCCAAGTTATTGGTCCACCATGTCTAATCCATCGATTTGGAAACATGTTATTTAGATGTCTTCTTACTGTTAACGTATAATGGGATGGGGCACCATCATGTTGAAACCAACCATTTTGAAATTGATTTAAACTACTGGCCGGTAAGGTCACCAGATTTAAGACGCTTAAATTACTTCTTATGGAGATACGTAAAAGAAATGGTTAATAAAACGCAGCCAACGACACGAGACGACATGAAAATAAGAATAATTAATGCATATGCCGCTATATCAACAGAAACGATTGCATTTACGATCAACAGTTTATGTTGCAATAGACTGCAGAAATGCTTAAGAGTTGGAGGTGAACATTTTGAACATCAAATGTAATAGACACAAGTAAAATAATAGAGACATCGATTCTAGTTCGTTTTAAAACATTTTCATCCTTGTGACTTTGAATTGTTTCAAGGTCATTTCAAAGGCATATGCTGAACTGGCTTTTTTCTGTACTTTCATAAAACCAAAATAAAATATAACATTCTATTTTAAAAAACACGACAACCTTAGTATGACCTTTAAAAATTGAAGGTAAAAACATTTTTTTTGCAGTAACATTCTACATAAAAAGTGATGATAAAAGTCTCTTTATATTTTTATCCTACCACCTACCGTTCAGTAATTATATCAAACGGCACCTATCGTGGAACACCCTGCATATACAGGGTGTTCTGTGTAACACAACGCACGATTTTTCAGTCATTTACGGTTATGTGACAAAAAAGTTTCCAATAAGAATTTATCGGTATCGAGTGTACAACAAATGGTGATAATAAAAATTTCGAAAATAGTTTATTCTCATAGCAAAACCAAGGTTACCTTGCATTTTTCAAATAGAATCAGATATTTTTTTCTCACCATATTGTAGGGGACATTAAAACGAATTTAAAAAAACACTAATATGTTTACAGTAGTGGAAATAGGAATATTTAATTATTCGTCGCATTCTGCTTCTGAACAGTATAAATGTATTTAAAATCTATGTTTATACTTTATAGTAGCTTTAGGAGAATACTTTTTGTATTCACTAAAAATTTATGGTATAACTAATAAATGCTTCTACGTAACGTTCTATGTTTACATTTAGTAATTTATGGTCAAATGTTTATACTGTTCAAAAGTAAAATGTGACGAAAAGTTAAATATTCCTATTTCCACTACTGTAAACATAGCAATGTTTATAAAAATATGATATATGCTTTTTGAATTCGTCTTAATGTCCCCTACAATATAATGAGAACAAAATATCTGGTCATATTTAAAAAACCTAAGGTGACCTTGGTTTCGCTATGAGAACAAATTACAGCTTTGATCCGTAATAAGCAACTCGATCGAGATCGAGTATGTTGCTTATTACGGATCGGCATGCTATTCGACTTTACTGTGTTCTCGAACAGGTCGAGAGAACATAGAGAACGAGTGAGAGGCTCCAGATATGTTTAACACGCCAGGATCGCAAATACTAGAGTGAGAAAGAATTATACATATTTTATTCTTCTTCCACTAAACAACGTTACTATTCATTCGATCGTAAAGATATATGGCTTCTCGCTTTCACGGATCTTTCACTCGGCGGGCGACTTCAATTAAAGAATAGGGGATAGCGAGTTGTCTATTGCAAGCCAGACAGCAGTTACTTATTACGGATGAACACTATTTTTGAAATTTATGTATCGTCATT